TTTTGGGGAACTCTCTGACTTCTGCACAACTTACCCCTACCTCCCCCTCTCCAGAGGATCTCATCCTGCCTTTTTTAAAAAAATTACCAAAGGGTTTGGGAGCCTCTCCTGAAGTTCAGAAGACTTTAGAGGCGACTTGAGTGAAACATCTCAGACCCTGGGGGGTTCCTAGAAATCTGGAGAGGAAGCTCGCCCTTGTGGGAGAGTCTAGAAGCTGCGGGTCACCGTTTGTAAAAAAGAAAATCAAGTCTTTTGAGGTCTCTTTCTCCAATCCCCTGCTTCGTCTCCCCCTTCAGAACCTATATCTCTGTTATCTATTCATTTTGTGGGATGTCCAGGCCCAGCATTTATTGCCCCGTCCCTAGTTCCCCCCTCGACAAGGTGGGGGTGAGCTGCCTCCTTGAACCGCTGCAGTCCCTGTGCTGCAGGTTGACCCCCAATGCCCTTAGGGAGGGAATTCCAGGATTTTGACCCAGCAACACTGAAGGAACGGCGATATATTTTCCAAGTCGGGATGGGGAGTGGCTCAGAAGGGAACTTGCAGGGGGCTGGTGTTCCCATGTATCTGCTGCCCCTTGTTCTTCTAGATGGAAGTGGTCATGGGTTTGGATGGTGCTGCCTGAGGATCTTTGGTGAGTTTCTGCAGCGCGTCTTGTAGATGGTACACACTGCTGCGACTGAGCGTCGGTGGTGGAGGGAGTCGGGTGTTTGTGGATGTGGTGCCAATCGAGCCGGGGGGCTGCTTTGTCCTGGACGGTGTCGAGCTTCTCGAATGTTGTCGGAGCTGCCCCCTTCCAGTTCAGTTTCTGCTCAATGGGTAACCCCCAGGATGTTGATAGTAGGGTGGGGTGGGAGAGGAATTCGGTGATGGTAACGTCATTGAACGTCAAGGGGGCGATGGTTAGATTTTCTCTTGTTGGAGATGGGCATAGCCTGGCATTTGTGTGGCACGAATGTTACTTGCTACTTGCCAGCCCCAAACCTGGATATTGAACAGATCTTGTATATATGTTTGATGCATTAGCCCTGACCACTCGTTTATAAAGAAACCCGGTTGGCAGATTATCCCTTGCCAAACCCGATAACGTTCCCGGTGACCTGGCAAGAGATGTTGGTATTTTACATTCGGACCCCTTTTCTGAGGTGTTGGGAGTTGGGGAGGGGAGTAGGGTTACAGCGAGTGTGAGATCCTCCAGCTTGGTTATAACACCGCACGCGCATAGACAGAAAAAGAACCCCTGGGACCAATTCCGTGGCAACCCGGCACAGTCGGGAGGTTCCAAACAGAGATTGCAGAGCGCAGGGGAGGGGGTGGTTACTGATCGCCATCTCCTAGCTGCGACTGTCAGCGGGTGGGAGGGGCACCCCCCCAACCCAGGAGGATCCCACGCGCAGAGCGGCAGGCACTGACCTGAGTGGGAACTCCACCAGCGTATCGAGCTTCTCCTTCCACAAGCGGGTATACGAGAATCGCTTGAGGTGAATGATCAGGACCTCGGGCAGCGACCACAGGTCAAATTTCTTGGTGGCCAACTGGTGTTCCTTACAAACAGGGCAGTACCTGTAGGCAAGTACACAGACTATCAGAGACAGGGAGACTCGGGGGGTGGGGGGGAGGGAAGGGAGGGTGAGGGGGGGGAGGGACAGGGGGAGAAGGGAGGGAGGGTAGAGAGAGGGTGAGGGGGGCGTGGAGACGGAGGAGGAGGGAGACGGACAGGAGGAGAGAGGTGTGAGGGCAGGGAGAGGGAGAGAGCGAGGAATGAGGGGAGGGGGGGAGAGGATAGGGTTGGCAGGCTGAGAGAGAGGAGTGGGGAGGAGTAAGGAAGAGGGTAGAGAGATGGGGGGGTGAGATGAGGTGGAGAGGAGCGAGGAGTGGGTCAGAGAGAAGGACGGGATACAGAGATGGGAAGATGGAACAAGACAGAGAGAGGGGGAGGGGAGGGAATAACTGTGGAGGGGGCCTCCTGCTCTCACCAGGGATTCTCCTCCTCCAGTGTCTCTTTTGTTGTAAACAGATCAATACATTCCTTCAAACTGACTGTCGCCTTTTTGGGCATGATCCCCATGCTGCGATCCTTGACATATTTCTGAGTGCGGGCGAGAGACAGAGAGAGAGAGAGAGAGAGAGAGAGGGTTATCACAGATATCCAGTGACAACAGGCTGCTCGGGGAGTGGGACACCTCAGTGCACCAGCAAACAGTCAGAGCAAGCAGAGACCGTGGTCCGACGGGACGGGGAAACAGAATACAAACAGCTCGGGCAGGAAGCGATAAGACAGAGATCTGACAGTACCTCAGCCTCAAGCTCATCGTAGTGAAGTTTCTTCATGTCACTATCCCAGTCCAACGCGATGTACATCTGGCCTGTGGCAAGACAGGTAAAGGAAGATCGCAGTTTACTGAAGGGGCCACTGTTCGAGGGTGGGATAGACACACTCCCTCTCTCTCACACACACAACACTCTCCGCCCCTCTCTCTCACACA